TGTTCCCGTGACACAAATACAATAAACTTTTTTCGTGTCATAAAAAAACCCCGAACCTATACCAATATGACACATATTCCCTCTATTTCAGTTCCATCCAAAGTATATCTATCACACATGTATAAGTTCAGGGTTTTTTGTAACACAAAAAAAAGTTTGGGATATTTGTATCACAATGGGTATAGTTTGATGTTTTTCTGTTATATTTGCCAAAAAACCAACATGTGGATCTTCCAAATTAATTTTTTTTTATCTATGTTATGCATTAGACATGGCCATGGGCCGGTTTTGGCCCGGAACCGGCCCGGGTCAAACCCGGGACCGGCCTGTTGATCGGGCCTGCGGTTCAGAACCAGAACCGGCCCGTGGCCTACGGGCACGGTTCCAAAAAAAACTACAGATATGTGGAGAAACTCTTTTTTTCCCCAAATTTAATTATAATGTACATTTTGATTATATTTTATATTGAATAATTCATTATTTCATAATTTGATAATTCATTATTTTTTATTTCATAATTTATTTTTTTAATTTTTACCGGCGGGTTCATACATGGCCACGAACCGACCGGTTCCAAACCGTAGTTATGTCTATTATGCATATCTATTCACAAAAATGGTGCTATTGTGCTATTCATGCATTAATGGCGGATTTCGTACAGAAAACATTCAGCGCAACGACTACGTCCTGAAAATCTGGAAGATATGAATTTTCTTTCTTTTGATTCAAATGATTCAGAAGAAATACATTTCAAAAGGGATTAATGAATGTGATGAAATTCATGCACTTCTAGATTTCTTGCATTCCACAGGCACAGCACAGGCAATATTCACTACTATTTTTGGCATCGATCTTCGCGTTCGAGTTCAGTGAATGCTAGGAATAAGCAAGATCACGGGGAAAATTCAATTAAACCATCGTGCAAAGATACTCCTGCATTCAAATTCGGAGTGTGGCAAGAAATTTCAACTTTGAACAACCATTGATCTGACCTAGACTTGTCCTCCTTAATGTCCCAACATTCATAATGTTATTTGTTTTTTATTTCCCGATTATCTCGTCGACGTGGTTATATTTATATCCCATGTTGCGTGAGCTAGCATATATACGTAGGAGAGGGTTACATAATATATCGTATTATCGTATATTCATTATTTGGCCTGTTTTTTAATGTTGTTTTTTTTGGGAGAGACTGTTTGTCTAACAACCGTGAGACAGCTCATTTAACTTGCAAGATGATTGATGGTTATGTTCCTTTTTTTTTCTAATTATTAAAGTATCACGCACTGCTTCTAGAAGGTCTGATTAGGCCTATTCATGATAAGAAACATATAATGAACACATCGTTTACATGTTTCTAAATAATTAAACTTTTGGGAAAAATGATTTATCTAGCATGGTACCTGAGATGGGTCAATGGTTCAAATTCCTACACTTTATCTCGATTATCTCACTTGGACATGGTATTATACTGCCGATTTTCATGTTCCTCTGTTATCTCTTTAAGTGATTACCTCTACATCCTGATTTGTGCACTCAAAAGACTAGCTCACACGCGAGGGGGAGCGGTAAAAAAAATGCTATAAATACATTGTCCGGCACATTTCCTTGAGAACAACTTGTCTAACATGGAATCATAGACGGGTCAAGGCATCAAATCCTTAAAGAGCTTTATCTCAATTATCTCACTTGGACATAGTGTTATGGTGCGTGCTTTCATTTCCCCAGTTATCTCATTAAAGTGATCATGTCCACATTATGTTTTGTGCATGCAATGGATTGACTTACACTCGAGGGGAAGTATTAAAAGTACGTAACGAATACATCATTGACACATTTCCATTATAGCTTAAGTTTTTCAAAAAACAATTTGTCGAACAATTCACAAATAATCTTTCTTCACTTATTAGTTTAAACTTTTCAATTAGACTTTCTCTCATGGTATCAAAGTCAAGTCTCGCATCCTTCATAACATCAGTATATCACATATGTGGCTCCTCATTTTTCAATTGCACTTGAGTTCTCTTATTAATACCGTTTCACTCCGGTTTGCACGCAAGAGAGGTCATTATAGAAGCCCACATCGATATCTTGTCCCTGTGCCCCAACAAAGACAATTCCATCCATGTCAAAACCGATAAATTATCATAAGATTCATCGAATGCCACATTGATGGTCCCAATCCCAAAAATCTAATGACCAACCAAAGATATTGGAGGATAGTCTCAAGATAATAACACTAAACCTGGATACCGACATCTTATGGCCAGACAAAAAAATGGGGTAGTGTGTTGTCTCTCCATCCAACCAAGACAAAGTTGTAATGGGTGAGGATGTCTGCGTTAATTACAGATTAAGGCAAACGATAGTCCCCAGGTTAAAGAAACGTCCCCTTTAAGTTCCAAAGATCTAGGGTTGATCATTAATTTGAGATTAACAAGAAAAGACAGAAATGAAGGCCATACAAGATCACAAAACATATTGACAATCTGATTCGTGACCAAGAATCATTCCTTGCTTGGGCGCATTCTACGCGGATTCTAATCAAGGAGAAGCAAGCAAGTCGCACGAAAAGTAGCGACTATTCTGCACAAGCAACTCCAAATGCATATTAGTCCAAATTCCAACTCATCGATTCATTGTCCAGGTGTAGAACCTTTGTTGTTCCACTTGTTCGATTCATTATGAAATCAAACGCGTTCATGAATTCTCTAATTTCAGAACACTTTTCCTGAGAACGCATCCGATTGAAAGACAATCTCCTGCAAAGAACCCATGATTTTCCCAATCTGTAAGTCAATAATTTCCATCAAAATGAAATGGCTAAAAGTTCATTAAAGGTGCCTAACCATGGCCATAGCAAATGGACGGGTCGCGTGAACCGCGGGTCGATCACACTTCACAGCCAGTAATAATAGCCAAGAACGTCGGAGGCAAAAAAAAGTCAACTCTCCAGCTCCAGCCTCCAATAACGTAGCCGACCAAAAAAAAAATACATAAATCATATAAATCATATCATTGAGTTTTGGCTTGGAGATGTTTGCGTATGACCGGGTAATCCAACACGTTATTCTCGCGTGCTGACTAATTTGATATCGCGACTTCGAGGAATTGTGAATTGTCAGCAAGACCTGGCTTTATAAGCAGACAGATCACGTTTGCTTCTTATTTTCAATTTTCAGTTGTGCCCCAGATGTTAGATTAGTTTACTGATTGAATAGAAGATTCAATCACTAAAATCCGTGCTTGACCCCAGACCATATTAGGGGGCATACCTTGTGTTGGTGAGAGAGGAAGGAGCCTGACAAAATATTTAAGGCCTTAAATTTTTCTGGGGCCACCATTTAAGCCTTAGTTTCCATTATTTGACCCAACTTGTTTAATTACCTCCCAAAAAATCTTCCCTAAACTTGATTGATTAGTTGGAATTGTATAGGTGCCGAGTGACGGATCCCATCTACTCTTTTCTTTGGATCCAACCCAACTGCACCTTGATATCCTCTCGATTCGAACAGTTTGTTAATAGGTAGATAGGATTCGTCTGATGGGGATCAACATGATCCGCATTTTTTCGATAAGGTCAACCCGAGATTTAATTACCCTCTTAGCTGTGATTAGCTCCATTAGAATAGACCGACACAAGGTTTGCGGATTTCGTTTTTTTTTCTTGCTAAAGCAAACCTTCCATTGCATTAAAGTAGTTCAACTATTATATGGAGAAACTAGAGCCTCCATCAAGATGATAAAGTAAAGAAAACTCCACTAACACTATATTCTTAACTCTAGATAGGAGATTATTAAAATGAAAAGAAGATGCAGTTCCTTATTGATGAAAAGCACATTTTTGCAAGCTCATGAGCAACAACATTACTGGTTCTACCGGTCCACTTCAAACTCCATCTTGGATTGTTGCTAAGTAGGAAATGAGAGTATGAGACGAAAGGATGAATACACCAAGGGCAAAGGCCCTTTTTATTGAATAGCATCAATTAACACCATACAATCACTTTCAAAGGCCACTTTGTGGATGCCGTTGGACCGAGGGACTAAAGGCCTTGCATGCGAGAAGAAGAGCTGCAAGTTCCACTTCCACTGGTGAGTTCCATCTTCTTGGACAACTAAGCCTCTCTCCGATCGTGCAATAATACCTATGGCCCTAATGTTATCCTTCCACGCACCATTTACATTAAATTTCAACTGCTGTGAATGAATGTACCGAATTTTCCTCCGAGACTCCACACAATAGGCAAGAAGGATTTGGGATATGGAGCAATTGAAACAAGCTAGCTCGACATTTACGGATTTTGTTCCAAATCGCGAGTTGTTGCTATTTTCAGTTTGCGGCCTGATGAGTTTTCGTAAGCAGATATAACATAAAATATTTCATCGATAACTAGATGCCAGATCAGTTGGTCCACCCAAATGAAGTTTGGCAAATGGATTTGAAGAATGGCTTGGACTGAGGTTGGGGAAAATGTCTGTAAATATATCCCGAGTTTTTGTCCCTGGAATAAAGAAGCTTTCTATTTTCTTTGCTGCAAATGTGGATCTGGATCAATAAAAGAAAGCAGACGAGGTGTAAGTTAGGAATCCAAGGGTGATTTCCAACCTCGCTTTGCATTCGCAAGAAGTTGGGAATTTGGACGGCCCCTCTTGACCATCTTTCCATCACATGCACAAATTTTTCCGAATTTGCTCCGACCATTTGCGTCATCCCACACGGCATGGACTGGACACATGAAAACAAAATTAGACACAATAAGCAAAGCATGGTGATTCGACGTGGCGGTCCGCGATTCGTCCGTTTTTACACGTGACCGCCAGACTTGGGACTTGGGGGGAGTGGAAAGTCTCAAAAATCTTTACTTGGAAGACTACTGGATCAACAGCTACCATCCATTCAAACTGTATTTTGTCCCCTCCGGTCTCACCAGGCAACCCAACAACTATTCCATGGCAAACAAGGTGAAGTCTTCCCCAAACCCTTTTAAAATTCAATTATTGACAAATTGAACGTTTCAAGAAATGTGACTATTAATGCTCGCCTTTCCACCGGGAGCATTAGAGCCATAGACATGGCAGCTGCGAGGAAGAAGCACGAGGCAACCTCCAAGATAAAGTCCATCACCACCTCCAACTTCGACACAGATTTAGAGCATCTCGGGTACAAGGAACATCTCCAGGGCGTATAGAAAGAGAGAAACCGACTGAATTTCGGTCGCCGACGACGGACGAACGGAGAAGAACAAGAAGGGAAGAAACCGATTTTAGTTCCTCGCGTTGAGGCGAAAATGGGCCTTGGAAATAACATAGGGAAGTACCAATTCAGCAGGATCATTGGGGAAGGCACCTTTGCCAAGGTCAAGCTCGCAGTGGACAGCACCAACGGCCAGTACGTTGCGATCAAGATCATCGACAAGCAGATGGTCATGAAGAGCAATCTCAAGCATCAGGTAAAATTCAGCATCAATTCCTGCTTGCAGGGCAAGAAGGAAAAGAGAATTTGCTATTAACACTGCGAACGTCTCTGTTTCAGGTAAAAAGAGAGATAAAAACAATGAAGCTACTGCATCACCCCAACATCGTCCGGATCCATGAGGTATGCCCGCCAATTCCAAAATAACCACTTTCAATTACAAGTCCATACTGCAAGAAACTGAGGGGAAAAGGCAATCCCAGAATTGACTTCGAATCAAATTGCTTGTAATAGGTCATTGGTACGAAGACAAAGATCTACATAGTAATGGAGTATGTATCAGGAGGACAGCTTTCAGACAAGCTGGTAAGGCTCAATGATCAGAAAGAAAGTTGTGGGGGTTGTTCAGCCGGTTTTAATGATTTTTTTTAATCAGGCTTATTCGAAAAAATTGGACGAATGTGAAGCAAGAAAGCTCTTCCAACAACTGATTGATGCGGTGGACTATTGTCATAGCAGAGGTGTTTGTCACAGAGATCTCAAGGTTAGTGTAACATACCATTTTTTTTTACCAATATGTCGATTATTTAGAATGAGTCGAGCCAAACTGATGAGGATCTCGGCCTACATACACAGCCTGAAAATTTGCTTCTAGATAACAAGGGAAATCTGAAAATCTCTGACTTTGGATTAAGTGCTTTGCGAAAGGTAAGACTGACACACTTCAAATCCTTTAGTCAATTTCAGTTTTTAGTAGAATCTGGATTTAACAATTCATAAGTAAAGTTGGCTAAACTGTAATACTTCAACAGCCTGGAGATCTGTTGTCTACCGCATGCGGCTCCCCATGCTATGTAGCACCTGAGGTGAGAATACCACTTTTCTGCGCTTAACTTTTTATGTTACATTAACAGGAAATAATAGATGCATATCATTTTTTGGCTTGAGAACATACTGGATAATCCTATTGAACCTAATTGATTTGATCATGCTTGCTTTTGATAAAACAGCTACTGATAAAGACGGGATATGATGGGGCACCGGCAGATATTTGGTCTTGTGGGGTAATTCTCTTCGAGTTACTGTCTGGGACTTTGCCTTTCGATGATCCTAACCTCATCAATTTGTATAAGAAGGTAATTTCCTGCATCTGTAAAGATAAGTTTCTGTCAACTAGACACGCTGCCTAAACGAACACCGTGTTTGCATGAAGATCTACAGAGCAGAATACACATTTCCCCCGTGGTTCACAGAAGGTCAAAGAAAGATAATCTCCAGAATACTTGAACCGAATACTAAAAAGGTTTGAATTCTCACTGTATGTAGCTTGCAATTATTTTCTTTCATGGAGAAACACCATCTAAAATCTCTTTATTTGCAAAAACAGAGAATGACGATACCTGAGATAATCGAAGATGAATGGTTCCTGAAAGACTATGAGCCTGCATATGGATATGAATGCGATGAACAAATCCATCTGGATGATGTTAATGCTGCATTTGACTCCTCTGAGGTAAATGTCACTGTAAAAACATGTGTGCGAATATTAATCTATGGGCAAATAATAACTATATGTGACAATGCAAACAGGAGAACGATGGCCAGAAGAAGATGCCAAAATCCTCCAGTTTCATAAACGCTTTTCAATTGATAGCCATGTCCCATGACCTTGATCTATCAGGTCTTTTTGAAGCACAGGCAAGTCTTCACTTTTCATGCAACTGAACTTTCAAATTAGATTCTTTCCAACTCTGAAGTATTGATCCTCGTTTTTGGTTGCTCGTCAGTGATATAAGACTTTCTCGTTGCATTTTACTTTCCTATACAGGATGAAGACAAACACAAAACCATGCTTGTATCCAAGCACTCAATAGATGAGACATTAAAGAAAATAGAAGCAGCTGCAGCAGATGTCAGCTTGGCGATTGAAATGTCGAACAATAAGGTATGGTCTTACCATTTCTTTCCTGCCTCTTTTTCACTTTGGTTGTTTTCAAATTTTCGAATAATTTCTCCAACTAAGAAAAACGTTTTTCATGGTTTTAGGTGAAGATGCATCCAGTGCAAAAGATGACCAGGTCTGCCCGGTCATGCTTGAACTTTTCAGCAGAGGTATCTTCGGAACCTGCATTACAATATAGAAGCCTCAGCATTCATAGAAATAAAAACAAATAAGCAAATTGTGAACCGTGAATATACACATGTTTTTGACAAAATTTCACAATTGGAAAAAGAATGCACTGATGTACAGAAAATTTCAGGTGATTGAAGTGGCTCCCATTTACTGTGTTGTAGAAATTTCAAAATCTTCAGGGGAGCTCGGCGACTATAAAAAGGTAGTCTAAACTTCTTCATGCACTAATATTGTACGCCTGAACCACATTGCTTACCATTTGTATTTACCTTCATGAACAGTTTTGCCAAAGTTTGTCCAGCCTATTGGCAGAGAAATCCGGTATTTCGTCACAAAGTCGTGGGTTAGACTTCTTCAACATTGACAGCAAAGGCGTCGAACAAGCTAGATGGTAATTTATTACCTATTCAGACAGCACAATAAATGCATCGGATATCCCCGATCCCAACTCACTGGTATTATTGAAATATGCAGTTATCAGGAGGAAGCTAGGCCTGATGCCAATGCCCTCCGTGGCTATTCGTCCTCCTGATCATAATTTTTCTCAACCTCTTGTGCTCTCAAGATTGTTGAGCCTATGATGACGAAAATCAAATACTGTAAAGCATGTTATGATATAATTGAAACATCAAATTAAAATTAAAAAAAAAAACCAAAAAAGGAAGTCACAGAACGGAGATCTGCTGCCAAATGCAACAGGACGCGTAAAAATCAGTTTGATAGGATGAAAAGAGCTCTTTTGGTTCTTCTTTGCTGTATTAGATTTTTTCTGTTTCTTTTCATTTCAAAAGATCTTCTTGAATGATGTACAGGCATGAGGTCTTCATTACTTTATTCATTCAAAGATCAATAAGATATGTGCTCTGTTCCCCATTTTAGCCTCTAAACATGCACAATGCACATGACATCTGACAATTTTATTAGAGCTACACATCATCGATATTTCCTGGCCAAGCCAGTCAATCAGATGACATCCACAATCCATTTGAGGAAGCTTACATGCGACATTCACAGATGAGTGAAGGCAATTAGAAGCATCCATACAATAAAATTAAAACCTCACGCCAGCATTGGATTGGACCAAGTCCTGGATCAGAGGTTAATCATCAATGAACAACTCATCAGATGTAGTGAATGTTTCTGCATCTGCTGTTTATCAAGTTTCGTGGATACGGAATAAGCGATATGCTAGTCACCAGCATCCTGCGCTAGTCTCTCACCCATCAACTTAACATCATCGACCCGTAAATAGGGCCCTAGGGATAGTCATGTAAAATGCTTGAACGAAACTACTTTGCAACCAAAATCGATCCTTACACGTTACACAATATTGTCCTCTTTTCGGCCAGCAAAAGCACAAAAAGAGGGGAAAAGCCAGAGTATGCATTTCACTTATCACCATCAGGTATAAAGTTATTGACTATCTGGTGCAAATCCAAAAATGCAAAACGGCTCATTCTCAATTACAAAATGAACCCGATGCATTGCAGGGGATGCTGCGCATGGTCTTGCTGTTTATCCATAATCGGAACGCTTAATAAAGAATTCAAAGTAAACAACCTAATCTTGCGCTCTCCTTTCAGACATTACTCAAATTGTAAGACCATGTGAGTCCCTATTAGCTCGTGGACGTTATTCACGGAACATGCTTTGTTATGTGGAACCATACTGTTGGTGGGCTACACAGTCCCATAACCGAAGAGAAAACAACAGAAAACTGACATGGCACAACTCACTGTCGCCCATGCTGCCTCGCTCGATCTCGAAAGGAGGGCCTTCAAAATTCGATCGGGGATCAATCCATGCAGACACTGCAATCACTCGCTGGCCAACCAAAAGCGCTCTCATGAATGCAGCCTCCAAACACGAGGACCAAAAACGCTATCCAAAAATGCCCGGCCATCAAAGCCCGTGATGTTCCAACCCCCTCCGAGCACTTGGCTTGAATCTTGATGTTTTTGTCACGTTATGCCAAGCTCATCTTCCTCGCTCTTCCTATATATTGCTTAACAATCATTCGTCATCCCCGCATCTCCACAGGCTTCTCCAGGAAAAAGATGAAACTCTGCCCACCACCGCTCGCGCGAGCGTTAGCATTCCTTGTCCTGGTCGGCATTCCGTCGGACTCCTCCGGGGCATCCCCACTCCACAACGAGACCCTCCACAGCGGCATCTCGAAGCAGCAGTGCAGGGGCTGCGACGACGAGTCCCTCCAGCTCCAGTTCCTGTACGCCCACAATGCCGTGAGAGCGGCCAAGCGAGAGCTGCCGGTGGCGTGGGACGTGCAGCTGGAGAGCTACGCGAGGTGGTGGGCAGGGCAGCGGCGGTCGGACTGCGCGCTGGAGCACTCATTCGAGGAAGGGGACTTCCGGCTGGGGGAGAACATATTCTGGGGAGGCGGGTCGGGGTGGACGGCAAGCGACGCCGTGGGGGCGTGGGCGGGGGAGGAGCGGTACTACCAGTACGGCAGCAACACGTGCGAGGGCGGGCACGAGTGCCGGCACTACACGCAGATCGTGTGGCGGAGCACAAGGCGGGTCGGGTGCTCCGGGGTGGTGTGTGACGGCAGCGATGTGTTCATGACTTGCAACTATTACCCGCCGGGGAATTACGTCGGGGAACGGCCCTACTAAAAATGTTGGGCCATTTTAGGGTCGGTCCATTTCTCTTGCCGCTTTTTTTCCTAAATTAGTATTTGAGTGATACGACACTTTTTATCCAAATAACAATAAAATATAAAGGGAGTGCCGGAAAATTCGCAATAATATCATTTTTGGTAAATCGTCAAAATACAAACTTCCCTTCAATTGCTAAATAATAAGGTAATATTTCCACATGGAATCGGATTAGCTGCGTGTTGGACCGCACTCATTCATTAGTCCTTTCCATTTAATTACCCGTGCCTTCGGCACAATGTGAAATAGCAATGTGTAACAATTGTAATTATCTTTCATCGCTTAAGAACTATTTCCATTAAAATGATTAATTAGCGAGAATTTGAAGGGAAATATATCATTTGAGAATGCGCAATTGACCCTTTCTAGTAAGAGCAAGTCATGGAGAGACACATATCTTGTTCTTACTACCCTGTCGAGGAGGCGTTCCTAGCTGCAATTGCCAATCTAGCTAGCACGAGGAAGATCCGAGAATCGTCGCTTGTGAAGATGGGCAACTGTTAAGAAACTTCAGGTTCCGAGTAAGCCGCTTCGAGTCTCCACAGCCAAGAGCAGGGCAGAGCAGAGCACTCCTCGCGGCGGCCGAACTGACGGAGACGAGAAGCGCTCCGATCGGCAATAAAGAGGCAAGAGAGGGTTTGGCAGAAATCAACGACTTCTTTGTGCCCCAAAGTTACCTTAATTTGGATCGCTAATGCCCTCTGCTCCTATTCTCTTTCGGTTTATAGGCTTATTAAGGAAAAATGACGCAAATAGTCTCTGAACTTTGACTCAATGTATAACATGGTCTCTAAATTTTTAATTTGTTCAATGTAATCTCTGAACTTTAGCCTAATGTGTAATGTGGTCCATTGAACTTTTAATTTGTTCAATGTAGCCCCTAAACTTTCGGTACATGTTCAATGTCAAGGACTACATTGAACATTTTCATATAGTTTGTGGACTACATTGAACACGTACTAAAAGTTCAAAGATGACATCGAACAAATTAAAACTTTAGGGACCACATTGCACATTGGGTTAAAGTTGAAAGGCCACGTTGACATTGCGTATTGAGATAAAGTTCAGGGACTGTTTGTATGGATGATGGTGAACCAGTAATGTTCAATGGCAGATTTTGGGCCGCTAGTGTACGACGGGTTTTGAGTTTCATGAACAAATTAGAGATCAAATGGGCTATGCTAATTACTTTAAATTGGAATAGTGGGCTCAGTTGATAGGCTCGGCTTTGACGAATTGGATTGAATAAGGTCGAACGAATTGAACGGTCGGGCCTGCGTGAATGGACTAGGCCTAGTGAATCGGATCAAATTCCATGTCGCTTGTTTCTTTTTCGGCAAAAGTACACTAGAAGTGCCATAACTTGTGTATGGCGATCACTTTGGTGCCATAACTTTTTTTCGGATCACTTTGGTTTCAACTTTTTTTAAAAACGATCATTTTAGTGCCAATGCTGACGTGGCTCGCTGGAAATCCGATGTGGCGCTGACACGGCTCGCCGGAGAGCTCCACGGCTCGCCGGAGAGGTCCAATCAGCATTAAAAACCAAAAACGACGCCGTTTAGCCCGCTGACGTGTACTTTTTTTAAAAAAAATTTAAATTATATTTTAAAAAAAAGCCCGCTGACATGTACTTTTTTTTTTATCCTTACCAAAAAAAAAAAAAAACCTGCAGCAGCGGTGAGGGTTGCCGGGCCCCGGCTAGGGGCGAGGGTTCCCGGCGGTGGTGGGTTGGCGGTAGCAACGGCGAGGGCTCCCTCGCCGCTGCTGCAACCTTTTTTTTTTTTTTTAAATTATTTTAATTATTATTATTTTTCTAAAAATTAAAAAATTTGAAAAAAAAAGCCACATAATTTCGACATGTACAAATCAGACCATTTTTTTAAATATAAATGCCAGGTCAGCTTTTTGGCCGGAATTTTGACCGGAGTCATTAAAGTGATCTATTTTCCTCCGACTTGGCACCAAAGTGATCCGAAAAAAGTTATGGCACCAAAGTAATCGCCGTACACAAGTTGTGGCACTTCTGGTGTACTTTTGCCTTTCTTTTTCTCTCTTATTTCTTTTCGTCCTTTTTTTTATATTAAAATGCGTATTTGACAGTTGACTAAAATTCAGGTGCCAATAGACTTCTTCGGTGCAAAAGGCTTAACGGGTCCCTCTTGCCAATTAAAAATTTGATGAGCTGGCCTTAATTGTACACGTGTAAGAGGATAAAGTGAACTAGTCGACAGAAATCCTACATGGAGGGACAGGTCTACTCGATATTTTCTCCATTTTAATTAGCCGTCACTTGTTCCATGTATACTTCATGATTAAGTGAAAGGGAAAATTCAAAGTAATTGGGAGTAAGATGGGATAAGAACACTACAAGTGCCATGATTAGTAAGTGTCATAACTTTTTTTTTTCAATTACTCAAGTGCCATAAAATCTGAAAAAAAAAAATGTTCACTTGAGTGCCTCCGGCGAGATTTCCAACTATACATCCTAAATGGCTTTTAAAAAAAAAGTCTGACGTGGTATTTTATTTTTATAAAAAATGTAAGTTTGACATGGCAAAAGTGTGCAAAATGATGTCATTTTGGCCTTGTTGCTCCAAATTGATTTGAAGATGAAACCTAACCTCATTAGATCTAACGGTAAGTTTTCAGCCTCTGGGGGAAGCCTTGGTTGCAGCGACGGAATGGGAGCTCGTAGAGGCGGATTCTGGAGCCTCCGCGACAAGGGACATGGTGGAGTTGGAGGTACTAGAGGTCGAGTGGTGTGGGGCAAGGGTGACCACGAAAAGGGTTTGGTTGTGAGGTTCAAGTTATAGATTTCTGTGTTTCGATTTGAAATGTGATTCCTCCAATGAACCCTCTTTAGTCTCGACCACATTTCACTCCTTCACAATGTATGACATTTCCAAAGGGAAAATTATCCAAAAAGTCCTAAACCTATTACACTTTTGCCAATTCAGTCCTAAACCCTTTAAGTTTGCCAATTCAGTTCTAAACCTTTTTACTTCTTGCCAATTTAGTCATAAACCTTTTCACTTCTTGCAAATTGAGTCCATCCAGCCAATTTTGCCCGGCTGGCTCTGATGTGGCCACCGGCTGGCCAGCCAAAGCTGACGTGGCAATTTTTAAATATATTTTTTTAATATTTTTTTCCTTTTCTTTCTTTTTTTTTTTCTGCCTTCAACCCTCTGGTCGGTCCGGCAACCGGTGACTAGCCAGAGGTGTGGGCCGGCGTGGTCGACCTCGCCAGCCTTTGGTGAAGCTCGCCCCCGCCGACCACTAGTAAGGGCGAGCCTTGTTCGCCTCTACCTGGGCGAGATTGAGGCCGACCTCGTCGTCGCTGGGCGAGGTGGAACCCAATGACAGCGAGGTCGGCCTCGCCCTCACCATGGCTGGTCGAGGCTCGACCTCGCCAGATTTGGGTGAGGTCGAGACTCGCCCTCTTAGCCTCGCCCTCTCAGATCGGCCTCGCCTTGGCTTGGCGACACTCGACCTTGCCCAGATCAGGTGAGGTTGAGCCTCGACCAGCCATGGCGAGGCCAACCTCACCGTCGCTGGGTTTCACCTCTCCCAGCGACGGCGAGGCCGGCCAGCGTCGTCACAGGTCGACCTCGCCTTGGTTGAGTGAGGTCGACCTAGTAGCAGCAGGCGAGGCTCGCCCTCGCCAGTGGCTAGCAGGGACGAGCTTCGCCAGAGGCCAGCGAGGTCGACCTCGTAGGCTCGTGCCTTTGGCTAGTCGCCGATTGTTGAATCAGCCAAAGGGAAGAAGGCAGAAAAAAGAAAAGAAAAAATATTAAAAAATGCGAAAAAAAAAATTTAACAATTGCCACGTCAGTGTCGACCGGCCAAAATTGGCCGGAAGGACTCAATTGGCAAGAAGTGAAAAGGTTTAGGACTGAATTGGCAAAAGTGCAATAGGTTTATGACTTTTTGGACAATTTTCCCCATTTCCAAGTGATTTCAAGCACAACTTTTAGCGTATCGGCAGAGAATAGAGACATCTTTGGTCGTAGTCAAAATCGAACTAAGAGGCGTCGATCGAGTCTGGGCGATTCGACTTGAACCCCACAACCATGGATTGGACAGTATTGGTGGCTGTCCATATATTTGAACCATGGATTTTATTAAACACACACTTCTCTTCCTTGTAACCATTTGAACCCCGCGACCATGTGGCGGAGGCGGACCACCAGTTCAAAGTTGAGCATATGCCATTTCCCAGGTTTCCCAAGCTCTACATTAATCATCTTGCCATTGAGTTTCTGCAGCAAATCATATAAACATGATGGGCAATGATTGAATAGTGGACGAAAGAAAATGGATGGAGTTAGGGCTTCATCTTCAAAGCAATTTAGGGCAACAAAAGAACTAAAACCACGTCGTAGTTGCACGCTTTTGCCGACTTTAATTCTCTGGTGAGCTACGTCGGATGGTTTATGTTAAATTAATGTCACATTAAATTTTCTAGCTAAAAAGATCGTCGGTGTCTCTTAAGTAAAGGATTTTAGACCAATGTGGCACGACCCAAAAAAAAAATTACAGCCCTCAAGTGAGCATCATACGAAAGTTATGCTACTTGTGATATTTTTATCTTGAAGTAGGAGTATAATGCTACTCTAAAACTACTCTGTCTCTCTCTTCTCGCGTCAATGAGTTGGTCAACCCCCAATCTTAACATATTTAGATTATCATGCACCACTTAAAAAAAGAAAAACTCAACCTCGAACTCGAGGCTAACCAACGGTGGTCGCCTTGGATCCAAGTCAGTCTAAGGTCGACCACTTTGGGTACAAAAAAATCGAACCCTATTACTTTATCTACATCTAGTAAGAACAACATTTTCTCACTCCCTTTTGCGTACGCATGACTTCCCTTAGGATACTAAATAATCACGTCACGTTAGCATGTTTACACATGGACCTACATTAGCTACTTGTCGGATCGCCTTCCTCTATCGGTTCCCTTCCCTATGCATTTGTGCATTCAATCATACAATATAATTTTTCCGTGGACAAAACAAGAAAAACTCAACCTCAGATTGAGGCCGATCGGAGTCGGTCACCTGAGATCATGACCCGTCCAAGGTC